ATCACCCTAAGAAACACTCCTGAAACAGGTCATATGATATTTTCCTTGGAACAGCTGGGGTTTTTTTCTTTGCTGAATAGAATGGATACAAAGACTTTACAGGAACATTCTGTGTGTCTACATTTGATATCTGAATTTATCCCATGAATCCCCTTCTCTGTGTTTTCAGTAAGAAATTTACCTTTTCCTCACCTTCCTTATCATTGTTCTTAAGATCCTTTTCACATCCTTATTTCTCAAGCTGTAAATAATGGGATTCAACATGGGAGTTATGGTTGTGTAAACTAAAGCCAGCACTTTTTTAGTATCTTGTGGATAGCTGAACTTGGGTCTTAGGTAAATCAGGCTGCCACTCCCGTAGTACAGCATCACTACTAGGAGATGGGAAGAACAGGTGCAGAAGGTCTTGTATCTTCCCTTTGCAGAGGGCATGGTCAAAATCCTGGAGATGATGAAGATGTAGGACAGAAGGATGAGAGAAAATGGGGTGAAAATGACCAATACTGTGGTTGTTGTGGCCTGAATTTCATACAGAGATGTTTCAGTGCACAAAAGTATAATAAGTGGTGAGATATCACAGAAGAAATAGTTAATCTTGTTAGGCCCACAAAATGGCAATGTGAACACCCAAGCAGTTTGCACCACTGACACAACATTACCAGTGAGGAAAGACAGCAGGACTAGGGAAAAACAAACCCTTCTGTTCATCATAATTGTGTATCTCAGGGGGTTGCAAATGGCCACGTAACGGTCATAGGCCATGGCAACAAGAAGATAGCACTCAGCAGCTGCTAGAAAAATCAGGAAGTACAGCTGGGCAGCACAGCCTATGTAAGAAATGCTCTTGTCCTGTGACAGAAAATTCACTAACATCTTGGGAACAATAACTGAAGTAGTACAAATATCCACGAAGGAGAGGACCCTAAGAAAAAAGTACATGGGTGTATAAAAGGATGGGTAAACTGTGACAATGATGATAAGGCTGTTCCCAATGATAGTGATAGTGTAAATCAGGAGAAACATGAAGAAAAACAAGATCTGCAGCTCAGTATGTCTGAAGAGGCCCAGGAGAATGAACATGGTCACTGTGGTGCAGTTGCTTCTACCAACTTTTTCTGTATGGTTCATCTGGAAAGACTTCAAAAGGAACCAAACTGTGATCGCTCCAAGAAACAAAGTCATAAACTTTATAGAATTTTTCACATTGTCTACTTTAGTAGTGTACCTAGTACTTCAAGCTCCATAAAGTACAGCAAATTCAGAAGGCTAAACCTATGAGAAATGAATTCTGCCTCTGATGTAGAGGTTATGGACAGCTGAAGAGAAAACTACCTAGTATTACCTGTGGAGTGAAGGTCTGAGTTTAGTGCATCTAAGTTTGGGTACTTAATTCCTGAAAGATTAGGGAAATGAAGAAAGTGGTAGATAGAAGTCTTCAATTTTTATATAAATCTGTATTTCCTAAAGTATTTCACTGAAATCAACAGATGGAGAAAAAGATTACACCAAATTAGTTTCAAAAGTACATCTCAAAAGATTGTGACCATCCTCCAAATTGCAAGAAAAGAAAACATGAAATTAATAACTTTCCAGACAAAAAGATACAGTCAAAAGCAGAATAGGAATTCTCATGTAACAGTAAAAGAAAAAGGAAGCATTTTGATAAAAACATGTGGAAAAAATAGACAATGAAATGTACTGCAGTAAAAATCAGAGGTTAAGTATGGGAAAACACAAAGTATAAAAAAAAAAAGAGAGAAAAGAACAGACCAGAGCAGAGGAAATAAATACTTCCGTCTTCTGCCACTACCAATGAAAAAGGGTTTTAAACGGTTTAATACAATTTTTCCTTGTTCTGTAATAAGTTTTCCAAATACTCTTTTTGCTTTTTTCTTTTTTCCTCTTTGAAAAGAGACTTTCTCTCAGGAGTACCAAAAATAATGGAAGTAGAATTATATCTAAGTTAAAGGTTTCTCTTCTCTCCCCCCCCCACCCCCCCCTCCATTTT